CAATGCCCGTCATGTTGCCTCGGCAGATCTCAAATGTGCGTTGAACCCTCGCCTTGGACTCAACCCTGACAATGAGCCTCCACGGTGGAGACGCTAGCTGTTGAAGACGCTGGAGCTGGAGCTGAATCCCCGTTTTTTGTGCAATTCGTCGACCCAACAGCGTCCGAGCGCCGTGAAAATTACACTGGCGGCCCTGCTTGGCGATGGAGTGCGATCGTGTGTCCCAGGAAGCATTGCACGATGCCCGGGAAAAAAACCGGACTGCAAATGTTTTTCCCCACCCAAACTCTACCTCTCCCAACACAATTGCACCAGCACCAAAACCGAACAATATGCCCGCGCACCACTCTACACCGAAAAGAATACGCGTTCAAGGGATTTGTAATTATCTTGATGCAAAAGGCACTACTTATAGCCACAATGATGTTTTTCGCTTTGCCGGATCATAGATGCAGAGGGCAAAATGACTGCAGATTGAGTGGGCTACTTTTTTGTGGTGCTGGGGAATAAATTTTGCAGTCCGGTTTTTTTTCTGGGGGTCGTGCATTGATCGGTATACCCACCTCCACCTACCGATATAGGGTCTCCACGATGCTCCACGATGCTCCACGATGGATGTCCAGGGTTAACGAGGGGGAGCACCGGGTCTGGGCGTGCAAACATGGCGGCTCGCTCGCATCCATCACAGCGTCTTCATTCCTTTATATGCAGCCCGCGGCGTCGCCTCGGTGCTCTGTTCTGTTTTCTTGGTGTCGCCGGCCATCCATTTGAGCTACTCGAGACATCTTCATCTCAGGCTTCCTTCACATCCACAAGCCCAGGCGTACCGCCCACGTTTTGTTCCGTTCCCAAAACAAACGGCAATCCGCAAGCATGCGCTCCGCACTCATCTCCTCGGTACTCGCCGCCCTGGCGCTGCCTCGGGGGCTCCTGGCCGCGCCGTCCACGCCCGCCGTCGTCGAGGCTCTGTCTTTCACGCCTCCTCACAGCACCAACAGCTCTCTCGAGGCTAGGCAGAACACCATCGACCTAAACAACATGAAGTATGCCATCGAGTTCGCTAAGGCCGCTTACTGCAACAATGACGCGAGCCAGGTCGGCACCAAGGTGACGTGCGGTAATAACGCATGCCCCAGTCTTGGCTTGGCCAACATCGTCAACTATGCCCACCTCAAGTATGTCCTTTCTGCCCCACTTGTTTTTCCCATATATTTCTTCGCCTTGATAGTGGCAGTTCGCTAACTCTCATATCCAACATTAGTACCGACATCAACATCAGGATGGACGGCCTTGTTATGGTTGACCACAGTTAACGCGTCATTGTCCTTGCCTTTATGGGGTCTAAGACGGTCCAGTCGTATCTAAATGAGTGCGTAAACCTTCTCAGCCCTTTCCAGGCCCCATTGGGACGCCCCTGAGCGCCATCTCGAAGTGAGGCTATATTCTAACCCAATTTACTTGCTGTGCAGGATCGATTTCACCACGGCCGAGGCTGATGACCTTTGCAGGGGGTGCAAGATCAGCTATGGTTACCGCAAGGCCTGGACTCAAACCCAGGGCGCCATCTTCAACGCCATTAACCGTGCCCGGGCTCAATTCCCCGGCTACTACGTCATCTGCACCGGCCACAGCGCCGGCGGCGCACTGGCCACCATCTCGGCCGCCTATCTGCGCCGCGCCGGCATTGTTGCCGACATTTTCTCATTCGGCTCCCCCCGGCTCGGGAACAACGACTTTGCCAACTTTGTCTCGGCCCAGTCGCCTAACCAGGGCCGCAACTACCGCGTCACTCACTACGACGACCCGGTCCCCTCGCTCCCGGCCTCGCTCTTCGGCCTCGCCCACATCGCCCCCGAGTTTTGGCTCTCGAGGAAGGACGCCTCCACCATGGACTACCCTCTGAACGAGATTCAGATGTGCTGGGGCATCAAGCCTTCAGGCTGCCGGGCCAGCAAGGGCCTCAGCCTAAACTTCGACGCCCACAGCTTTTACTTCGGCAAAGTCTCGGCCTGCTACCGTGGCTGATGCACATGTCCATATGTTGCACTTTGGAGCCCCTGGACATGACCTGCTCGGCGCTTCTGGTTGTTTGGATTTACGACGCTATGACTGATGGTTATACCATCACCTTGACATATACACATTAGGCGCCAGGGGTGCTGTCTGCAATAGAGAAAGACGACCACCTCAGCATAATATATAAATTTTATTTGGCTAACATTTTTCATTATGGTTTGCGGTGCTTTCATTGCATGTTTACGCGTAAGGGAGTAACTGTAAGCGCTAACTACTTGCTTTAACGGAATGGTAAAAGCTTTAACGGGAGTAAAAAGTAGCGTTTAAATACTTTTTAAAACAAATTACCATTTCCTGAAGAAGCTTCTGCCTCCCCGACTTCGCGACGGGAGAACGCCATTAGCTACAACAAATTTAACATTAAATTTAAATTCCTCGCCCCCGGCTCGCTACCGGACGTATGTCCGCGCGCGAGCGCGCCTCCGGCGCGGCTGCTGGCGGCGCCAGTAGCCCCGTAAGCGACGGAACGGTTACCAACCGCTTTAAAGCCAGCAATAGCACCATTATAACTAACGCTTTTAACCCTTTTTTAACGCGCGTTAGCATTGCAAATTTAAAAAACCAATTAATTAAAAAATTAAAGCTTTTTGTACTTTTTGGTAATATCGAATTAATATTTAAAATTGTGGAAAAATAAATTAAAATTATAATAAACGCGTTAAAAACGCGAACCCGTAACCTTTGCAATTGCATATTTAATTAATTTTGCATTATAAAAAACGAAATTATTGTTAAAATACGCAACGTTTAAAAATAAATTATTAATTACGTTTTAATTTTAATCGTTAAATTATTGCAAAGCGGTTAAACCGGCGGTTACCCGCTTACGATTCGGCTTTACGCGTTCTTTAATACCGCCCCCCCCCCCCCCCCGGGCCTTTTTTAACCGTTATACAAAAAATAACGATTTATTCGATTTAAAATTGCTAACAAAACGCAAACGAAACGGTTTTTTGCTAAAAGCAACAAAAATAAAAAAAATCCCTAAATAAAAGGAATACAAGCAAATTACGAAAGTTCCGCAATAAAAAAATAATAAGTTTTTTTAAACCGGCCTTTACGATAAACCGTTGTTTTACTAATCCAAATTTTGCTTTTTTCAGCTTTAATAAAATTAAAAAAACGTTTAAACCCCGAATTGCTAATAATTAATAGCATTTAACAATTTTATAATTATTATTACCATTATTTACTTTAACTTTGCTTCCGATTTTAACGCTTTTGTTTTACTTTTGCTTTAACCGTTAACGTTTTAACCAACCCGGTTTGAACCCGCATCGAATTCGTTCGATTTTTTAGCAACTAAAATTATTTTTAATTTTAACCAACCAACCAATAACAATAATAACAATTTATAAAAATAATAAGCATATTATATTAAAATATAAAAAAAGGAAAAAAAAGCAATTTTTTTATAGCAATAAATAATACGATATTATAGCCATTTAAAAACCGGAACGCAACCGGTACGAAAACTTTTCGAACCCGTACGGTTGTAATTACGAATTAATTTATTATTAAAAATCCAATTTTAACGCAACACTTTACGTGCATAGCCGTTTTGCTTTAAAATTGTAAACCGTTTGGTGCGGTTACAATTAAGCTTTAATTATAATTATTACGTTAAAAAGCTTATTTAAAATTTATTCGATATATTTACCAAATTTTAAAATAAAACCTAATTAAGCAATATTTTTTATTATAATTGCTATTTATTTAATTTAAAAATATACAATTTTTACAAATAATTTTAACCTTTATTATTTAATTTAAAATTTATACAATAAATGTAACGCAAAAAGCGAAACCTTTTTAAAGCTAATACGCTGCAAACGTTTTATATTAACAACGTTATACGGGAAAATTATAAAAACGAAACGAAAAAAACGAAATAGCACAATCGATTAGGTTTAAACATTAAACCAATTTGTAATAAAATATTTAAAATAAAATATGTTACAAAGTAAACAGTATATACTGTCGTAAGGAAGCCTTAAGCATAAATATTAAATGCTTAAGGCATTGGAAAAGCGGTTCCCCTGCCTGAAAGCGTGTAACGCTTCCAGGCGTTAAGAGGGAAGCTTAATAAGCAAGGAAAACAGGGAGTTACGTGTATATAAAGGGCAAAGGCCCTTACGGGACCCTGCACTTTAAATCCTTTTTTTTTAAAGCATATTAACCGGAATAGCCTTATACCGTGCTTATCCTTTATATTTGCAACAGTTATAAGCCCGGCGACTTTTAAACCCTTTAACGTAAAGTAAAAGGCTTAGCAGTACGGATTTATTCCCTTTTTATTATTTTTATTAAATCGTTTCCAAACGCGCTTTTCCAAGCGCGTTTATTTTTTTTTCCCTTTTCGCGATTTTTTTACGGAAAGATTTTTACGCTTTTAAAATTTCTTTTAACAAAGTTTTTTTTGCCGAAGCAAGTTCCGTTATTAATTCCAAACGTTGCCAAAAACCTTTATTAAATTTTACTTTTTTAACTTTTACGTTTTTACGCTTTTAAAGCTTTTAACCCTTTATCTTTTACCGCTTTACTTTTACGAGCTTCCGGTTGCTACTAATTATAAATGGTACGGATAACAATTTTTTCGTAATAGCGTTGTTTAAAAATTAAAAGCAATGGTTTACGTAATTTACGGCGCTTTGTTAAAACGCATTAATTTTAAAGATTTAAAACCAGGTTAACCTTAATTTAAAATTCCCGAACGACGTGCAAGCCAACGAAACCCTAAATTTTAACTTTTTTGCAGCAAAAGCCCGGGCCGAGCACGTTAAAAACCATAAATTTAAACGCTTGGTTTGGCAAACAATCCTTTCGACCGAAAAAAAAGGCTTATTTAAAGGCTTGGCAAAGCAAAAGCAAAGCCACGCGAAAATTTAATCCTAAACCTTTCCAAGCCCTTTCGGTTTTTACCAAAGGTAATTTTAAAGCCAAGCACAAAAAAGCGCTTAAAGCAAAAAATACCGCAAGCAAAACCGTTTCGAAAAAAATTACAACCCTTTCCAAATGGATTAACTTTTTTGTAAACTTTATTGCGCTTGCAAACGCGCAGCTAAAAGCTTAAGCCAATAATTACGTTACTTTTCGTAGCATTATTATTTGCTTAAAAGCGCTTTACGCTTCCATTTCCATAATGGAAATTTAAATAATCTTTTAAAAGTACCGCAATACGCTTAAAAAGGCCGCTAGCATTATAAATATTAACCAATGGTTTTCGAAATTCCAAGCGATTTTTATTTAAACCAAAATTAAAAACGTTTTTAAAATACAAAGTTTTACGCTTATGCTTAACTTTTTTAAGCATATGGAGCGCTTTAACCCTTTTTAAACAAAACGTTACCGTTAAAAAGTAATTACGGGCAATTTTACGGGAAAAATGAATATTTTGGTTATTAAATTTTTAACGATTCTTTTTTAGCACCGCATTAATAATTCGGGCATTAAAAAAAAATTCGCGTTTTTAACCTTTAAGGGCGTATTTAAAAATAAAAATAAAAAAGCTAAAAGCATTTAGCAAAATAACGCAATAACGTATAAATGCCCGGTTTGCATTTAAAACCATTCCTAAAAGCCGGAAAATTGCTAAAAGCTCGTTTACGTGCTTACCGGCAATTCCAAACGCTTTTGCAACAAACCAAATAACGAAAAGTGCAAAAAAATTAAAAAGTTTTTAAAAAAAACCGTTAAAAATTATTTAAAAAATCCTTCCTTTTTAAAAGCAAATTTAAAAATTCCGTTTGGGGGAAGCAAACCGAAAGCGCGTTAAATTTTAATCCCCGAATTTTAAAAAAAAATGGGATTTAAACGCGGCCGTGCTTAAAGTGCTTTTGCTTTAAAGCTTTTTTTTGGCTTTTAATATTATAAAAAACATTTATTTCGAAAATACGCTATTCGATAATTGCGGTTCGCTTTATATTGTTAACGATAAAAAGCGTTTTAACGAAAAGTTATTCCAATCGTTAAACGGTATTAAAACGGTTTAATGCGGCATTTAATACTTTCCAATTTTGGAACGAAGTATTCGTACGCTTTTTAGCTTTTTGGACGAAAGCGGAAACTTTAAGCTTTATAACGTTGCTTTGGTAAAAGGCTTTTATATTAATATTATTTCGAAAGCTTATTTAAACGCCAAAAAGGTATAATTTTGCGGGAAAAACGCAATTTTGCGCATTAAAAAAGTTATTAACGGGAAAGTAATTAAACGCTTTTAGCGCAAAAATAACGTAATGTTTTATAAATACAAACCTATTGCTATTTATTTTATATTAATTACGTTGCAATTTTTCCCAAAAAATACGGTTTTAGCTTTTGCAATTAAAGAATTTTTACGCCGCAAGCGTGCTACGCATACGTAGCGTCCATTTTCGAATTTTACGAAACCGCAAAAAAATACCGCTAATTTTTGGCATTTGCGCAATGGTTATTTGGGATTACAAGCGTTAAAAGCTTTCGTTTAAAACGCCCGGAACGTTAAAATTAAAGGATTTAAACGGATTAAATGCAAAGCATGCGCAATAATTTATGCTATAGCCGTCGTTTCCAAGCGCTTTATAAAAAGGGCTATGCGCCTTTTTTGGAAGGTTTGGTTTAATTTATTTAATTACTTTAAATCGAAATTAAGGATAAATTGGGTTTTGCTGTTAATGGATAAATACAGCGGCAAAACTTGGAGCTTTACAATTTTAAACAAAAAAAACCAACGGTTATTAAAATTTTAAAGGAATAAAAAGCGTGGGTAAAAAAACAATACAAATTGCTTATTGCTATTTTTAAATACGACTAAAAAAAGTCCATTATATTTGTAAAAGGGTTTTTGGAGTACGAAAAATAGGCTTAAATTAAAAGCATCGTTATCGAAACTTTACCGTTATACATTTACGAACTTAACGGAATAATTAAACGCACGGGATAAAACGTTATTACAAAAAAAATACGCATGCGCGAAAGCGCAGGACTTTTTAAGCATTTATGGCCGGAAGCGGTTTACGTTACCGTTTGGTTAAAAAATATAAATTTTTTACCGTTAAAAAGCATGCGCGTTTTTAACGATATCCTTTTAAATTGGTTTTAAAAGTGGTTTCGGCATTACGCCCCGGAGCTTTTTACGGGTTTAATAACCGATTTAAAACCGGATTAAAACGGCATTTACGCTTACGGGTATAAAGCTTATCCTTTAAACGTAAAAAGGTTTTACAACGCGAATTTTAAGCATTTTAAAATTAACTTTCGTGCCGGGGTTGGATATTTAATGGGTTACCAAGCCTTTAATATTACCGGATTTAGGTTCCGTTAAAAAAAGTAATAATTACAAAAAACGTTAAATTTAATAAAAAAAGCTTTTTTAAAAGCAAATAAAAAAAAACCCGATTAACGTGGTTACTTACAATTTGCTAATTAAATACGACAAAACGGAAAACCCGCTTGCAACCCAAAAAGGAATTGCTAATGCGCTGGGGCTTTTTTAACCGAAAAAGCTTTAAGCACCCACTTTCGTTACCAAATATTAAGGTTAAAAATTGGGGGTAAAAAAGCCAGGTTTTATTGTAACCACAAAAGCTAAAGCCGCAAAGGATTCGGCCAACGGGCCGGATCCAAACGCGCATAAATTTTTAATTCCAAATGCTTTAAAAAATGGCCATAAAGCAAAGCAAATGCGTAATACGGGCTTCCCACGTATGGGCAATTCGTATTACGGCTTTATACGGCCCGGAAAAAGCGATAGCTTTCCGCCGGTAAGGGGTGGAAATAACGACAAGCCCAAAAAACAATTTTTAAAACCGTTAAAGCTAGCTTTACTTTACAAAGCAATAAACCGGTTTTTGCTTACCCCAAAACCGGATATACCAGTTGCAATTACAAGCGGCACTTTTGCAACGCCTTTAATCGCGATACTAAAAGCGTTTAAAGCTTTTAAAGGTTTGTTTAAAGCAAATTTAAACAAGCAAAAAGCGCCGCTTTCCTTTTTTTTTCCGGTTAAAAAGGGCAAAAGCCAACCCCGCAAAGGAACGGGCCCTTTGCTTTCGCTTAAAGCCTTTTTTTTTAACGCGCTTTTACCGGATTTACCAATAACTACGTTTAAAGCAATTCGCGCCGTAACGCGGGCGGCCGCAAAAGGAAAAAAAAAAAAAAAAGAAAAAAGGAAAAGCAAATAACGCAATAACTTTAACAACGCCATTTTTTATTACGGCTTAGCGATAGCGTTTAACGCTTCCAAACCGGAAATTAAAAACGTTGCTTTTAAAACAAATTTAATAAACGAAAATTAGCAAGCTTTTTTCGATACGTATTTATTTAATTAATAAACGGTAATTAAAAAAAATAATTTTAGCCATTGCCCGGTTTACGAAATAATTGTAATTGCCGTAACGAAAACATTAAAATGCAATAGCCTTTAAAAAAATAAACGGTTGCACCGAAACGAATTACAACAAATTCCGAAATCCTAACAAAAGCTTAATACGCACCCGCATAAAAAAGAATTTAAATAATTTGCTTTTGGGAAAATTAACAAATTATTAAAAAAAAGAATTTGGAAAAAATTTTTAAAAAACCTATTTGGTAATAAAGCTATTAACATTATTTAAATATTTATTTACAAATTTAACGAAAACGGTTACGTTACGGATTATAAATCCCGCGCGGTAATTAAAAATAATTAATAACCCAACGGTTTAAAAAAAATTTACGCTATTACGCTTGCAGCTAAAAATTTTAAAATTATAATAACAATTATAGCTTATTTTAATTTCGAAACGCATTAAATTAACGTTAGCAAAGCTTTTTTTTACGCAAAAATTAGCGATAACCATATACCCATTTACGTAAAGTTCCTTTTTGGGTATTACCGAAAAAAGTTTGTAGCACGGTTTAAAAAAGCCTTGTACGGGCTACGAAATTTACCGAAATTATAATATTTAGCTTTCGAAAAAACCTTTAAAAAGCTAAAGCTTACCCCGTTAACAAAAAAGCTTTATTTATTTATAAGCACAAAACGTAAGGTTTTTTTTTTTTATACGTTAACGATATAATTATTTTTAACCGTGCTACGAATTTAAAAATGGCAACGAAAATGTTAAACGGTTTTAAAAAAAAGTACAAAATAAAAAAAGGATTATTTAAAATTTTCCTTAAAATTTAAATTGTAAAAAACAGGAAAGTACGAATAATAACTTTGCATTACGACTTTTACATCGACAAAATCGTTAATACCTTTAACTTTAAGAACAAAAGCGTAAAGCGCTTCCCGTTGCTTAGCCAAACGCTTAAAAAAAAATTTGGGGATAGCGATACCCGCCAAGGTTTTGGCCATGCAAAAAAAAGTCGGGTTTATACTTTATACGGCCATTACTATCCGTTTAAACGTTGCTTTTGCAAGCGCAAAACTTTCCAAATACCTTACAAACCCAAATAAAAAGCATTTAAAAACGGCAAACCATACCTTTTTGTATTTAAAAAGGTTAAAATTTTATTGCATCCGGTTAAGGAACGTTCCAAAATCCAACCATTTGCTTTTTGCTTTAAACGCTTTTTTCGCTAACGATAAAAAAACGAAAAGGTTATTTAAAAAATACGTTATGTTTTTATTCGGAAAGCCCGTAACGTAAAAAGCAGGGAAATAAGCTACCATTATAACGTTTACTATAAAAGCAAAGCTTTTGGCGCTTATAAAGCTGGAAAAAAAAATTATCGCTATGCAAAGGCTTTTCCAAAATTTGCGCTTGGAAATTAATACTTTTTAAAAACTTTATTGTAACAATATACAAACGATCCAATTGGTAATCGAAAAAAGCACCCGCATTAATACGGCTTTAAAGCACGTGGATATTATAAATATGTGGTTACGTTAAAAGTACCAAAAAAGAACGTTCGACGTAATATATTTTAAAACCGCTTTTATGCCAGCAAACGGGCTTACCAAAAACTTCCCGCTTTACAAATTTAAAACATTTAAAGCTATTTTAAAGTTATACAATTCCTTTAAAAACGGGTTGGCAAATTTAACACGCAGCCAAAAACTTTAAAATAAATACCAAAAACGTGTAACGTTTGCATAAAGGCATAACGCAAATT